GTACATTGTATATACAGTGCCTGCAAGGAAAAAAAGAGCCCTTGCACTTAACGCTCTCGACGCGGGTAAAGGAGGGCTATTGTTCCCACGCAGCCCTCCTTTTTTTTTTATCGCGCTAGAGCCGTGTGCTTATTACGGCTTGCTCACTTTGCCCCTGCACTCTCGCTTTCTTCTCCTTGACAGGGCAGGCACGCGAACTCTAGATTTTTTTTTTTTTTTTTTTTTGCTTACCTTCGCATTGTATAACGCGTGAGGACGTTTATTTCTTTTTAATAGCTTTTCTTTTTTCCAGAAAATTGTTTTTTTCTCTTTGAATCTCGGGTTCAACGTAATCATCGTAGCGGTGCTTTCAAACAAATGCAGGAAGGCTCGTTGGTTTTGTGAATAAGTAACGAGTTTTGCCATTGATTTTCTCGTGCAGGTGGAATCCATTGGATGTCTCAAGCGTTAAGGGAAACAAAAGCTCTTCCGAGAATTCATATGCGCTCTACCTATAGTTATACACGTGACGAAAATTTTATAAATATTTGAAACGCCTGTCGCATTAAATACTTGTGCGGTTATCGATTGGCCATTTTTTTATTCTGCAAATTACAAGCGAAAGCCAGAACAAAAACTCGACAGTCACATACACGTTGAAGCACAAATATGTATAAAAGGTATAATATTTTGTGGGGGAAAAAAAGCGTCAAATCCAATGAATTTGGATTCGCTGATAATTGTTTTTATTTGCGAAAAAAAATAAATAAATAACTGTGCGATTCGTCGATAAATGCATTGAAGACAAAATAATGTTATCATTTATAATTTACAAATGTGCGTGATGTACATTGTTTGCAGTCGAAATGCAAGTTTTTTTTTTTTTTTTTTTTTTTTTACACATACCTTGCAACTCGACCTCATACAAATAAACATTAAAAGCATCGGAGGTCAAGGTTGTTCGATATCGTTCTCAATTTTTTTTTTTTTTTTTTTTCCATACCACAGATTATACTGGTAAAAAAGTTGTCATGTATAAACAACTTGTAAATGAAATATGGCTCATCAGTGAATAATTAAGAACGATCCGTATTAGGTAAGCCCGAGCGTGAAGGATCGATGTTACATAAACAATGTGGTACGAAAATCTCGTGTATTTTTCTTTTTTTTTTTTTTTTGTTTATTTATTTATTTATGCCAAAGTAAACGTGTTAAATTCACAAGCTGAAACAAAATACATACAATAAAACACGTGTGTTTAATGGGAAAAAAAAACAAAATGGCATTGCACTTGAGCTGAAAGGCCAATGATTATCGCAAAAAAAGAGATTAAGTACAATTCCAACGCAAAAAAAATAATGCTTCGCCGATCGCTCTGAGTGACGATATTACTTTTGTTCTCCCGTATCATTATGACTTCCGTAACGAGATGGGCGAGGAAAAAGAGTCGTCATCGCTGTATTACCCGCGATAACAATCTCACTCACAACGGAGACCGCGGCCACGCCGATGGTCAGATAGCGTCGTGTATAACTGACACTGACGAGATACTCGACCCACACACGATGGTATGTGCCATTAAAAATAGAATCCAACCCGTACATAAATATCCCTCAGAGCGATCTCTCGAGTAGCCATACTTTTGAAACATCGATCAAAAAAAAGAGGAAAAACAGTAGTTAGAGTGCACCTCAACAGAGCCAAAAAAAGTACACAAAAACACGAGGGAGAAGAAGCTTTCTTTGCCACCCCCCCTCCCCCCAAAAACTGGTTGGCTTGCTCGGGTAATCTTATATTCATACATGAGTGGGTTGTTCTCCTGGTTGTTGCCGGCCGGGGCGGCGTTCGAGCGCCTCGAGCGCCAGAGCCTAGCGAACCCGTATCTCGTCATCTCCTCCTCCGCCTGCCGCGTTGTTTTTTTCTCCGTTACCTCGTCGGGCTCGGGGCTGATTGGTTACCACGTCGGCCCATACGGCTGGATCTGCAGCAGAGATAGATTCCGAGGTGTTTGATCGTCACCAATGGGTTTTTTTTTTTTTTTTTTTTTTTTCGTACCTACCTCTCGGAGTTGCACGAGTCGAGTCGGCGGAAGGTCTCCCTTTGAAGGCAGTCCCTTCCAAACACTACCCTCGTCTTTCACCAACTATATACACATACGTATACAAGTGACTACATTCGCAATCCGGCGTAGCAAAAATATATATATATCACGCCGATCGATGTACGTGCGATCGGATCCAACTTCCGTGTGCTAAAGTTGGCCAGTGGCTGTACTCTCGTATATTTGCAGGTCGCTTATGAGGACGAAGCTAATTATGCACCACTTGCGCGAGAGAGTGTCCTCCGTGGATCGATCACCCGGTGCTCTCTTGTCCCTTGGCTCTGATGTCGCGGTGGGATCGCTAGTTTTTTTTTTTTTTTTCTAACGCATTATTGAACCAAAAGGTATATCAACCGTTCTTATTTACTTTTCTACTTACGCGTTGCGGCTGCTCCTCCCGCAAGATACCTTACGCGTATACAGCTGCTGGCGTGATCGTTTTTTTTTTTTTTTTTTTTTTCTTTTCCTCTATCGTTTTTACAAAAGCTGCTTGGAAAAAATCACATCGACGTGGTATACAATGATAAGCGTTTGCCATAAACGGCCAACCGAATGTGCCTCGGAGTCTCCAGGGTTGCAAGCGGCATCGAAGCGCGTAAAGGCACGAAAAATCACCTCCACGCGCGCGCGTGTTGGTTGCAAGCGCGTGTACAAAAAATACGTCAAACCCCCCTCGGCTCGACTTTATCGAAACGCTCGCGCGTGTATACATGTATCCATGCAGCGAAAAGGCAGTATACTGGCAAAATTGCGAGCTTGGACGAAAAAACAAGGAAAAACAACAGTCGACCCTCAAGTTCCTAAGGACGACAACCGGCCAACGGGACCCCCGCGGTGGGTTCCTCCATTCCAGTACTCCGTGTCGGGGCGCGCATCCCCCTTTCCAACGCCCGGGAGAGTCCTCCTCCTCCGCCCCAGTTTCCTTCGATCATCCGCATCCTCGTCCCGCTAAAGTCCTCTTCTCGCCGGCGATGTGGTTTATTTCGCGCAATGTTCACCGAAGCACTCGCGGGTTCGATTTGTACATTATTAGCACCAGCCCTCGTCTATCCTACCACGAGCAAACCTTTTGGTCGACACAAGAAAAACATATATCGGAGAAGGTGACACCACACGGTCCCGGGCTAGGTTGCAGCGCTCCGTTGTGTGTGTGTATGGATCACAGCACGCCCTCGCGTCCGACCGTATATATACCAGTCCTCGTTCTACTTGCAGTCGGTGCTCCGTCATTGACTGCTACTACCCTCCGCGCACACACAGTAGCACACGCGTCGAAGCAACGATGATGACGGTGAAAAATCAAAGAGAGTAACGCACACGGTAGGCCGTCTCACAAGGACTATTAGTCCCCCTTCCCCATAGGATAAACAAGAGTAAGGTTCCTGTGCTCGCGGACGAGAGGGTCTGTGCAGTTGTTTGGGGGGGGGGGCTGTCTTTTTCTCTCGGCGGAGCTGGTCCCTCCCCCGCATCGCCCGTCGCGACGACTGCTACGGTAATACGGAGGGGGTGGCGTGGATGTGTGTGGCGGCGTCGAGGGTTCGCGGGACGCCCGTGAGGCGCCGCCACCGCCGGGAGGATGCTATCCCCCCGTCTCTGTGTTTCCAATGTGGGTCCGCTTCTTTCCTTTTCGCGTGATGAGGTGTACGATGTTGGATGATTAGGCGGTACAGTGGGGGAGTGGCCTCGGACTTTACGATACTTTTGTCCGGTGCGTTGTGAAATTTGGAATGGAGAAGGAGGGCTTTGTCCTAGGTGATGGGGGTGGATTTTGGTGTTTGTTGAAATTACTGGGACATTTGTGACAGGGACAATATTTTTTTTTTTTTCTTTTTACGTCACAACGAATCGGTACGAAATTCTCTAAAAGTCAGCCAAATCAGGGCTAAATGATGCTCTTAAACACTGGAAATCCTCAAAAAGCATTTTCGTCATTATTGATGGTACAGAGATAAAATGCGTAAAAATAAAACAAGTTGGAGCGCAAAACTATTGTAAACGAGTAGAAGAAAAAGGAGAAGAAAAAAATGTTAAGACACTTCAGTCAGAAGTGCAGTTTGAGCCTGTGCATACACATATGCATTCACTGTTTATACTGATTCACTGAATTTTCCAGCAGTTATCACAAAAACATGATCTTTTGGTTTTTCAAATAATTTCTATTTACCATTTTGAGGTCCAGAAAACAGGTATACATCGCACCTACAGCGTAACAGCAAATAAGAGGCGCTTTGCGTAATAACAGTTCTCGACAATAATTATTACCACTTGATAATAATACCTTAATAACCTTTTTCACAGATACTATCATCTCTATGTGTATGTACCGAGAAAATCCTTGCTGTTATGTCACGAAAAGTAATCCTCAAGCGAGCCAAACGCGACTGAGCGATGTAAAAATAAAAGGTTAAATATATAAATAAACAACGTGGAATAAACAATCCGAAAGGAAGGCAGTGACCATCGATGCATACGCACGAAAGGTGCTTTTGGTTAAACAAGCCCCCATCCACCTTCCCTCAACTAATACCTGCTGCTCTTCTACTCCCCCGCACACTATGAGATATACTCTCTCGGCGCGCAAAACACAGAGAGAGAGAGTGCTGGGATGCTTATTTTTAGCTGCATCGATCCGATCCCGAGGAGCCGGAGGAAATGCACCCGTAAAGGACTTTTATCGGTGCCAGAACGCGGAAACAAACAACAGTGTGCGCTCGTACGAATACACAAAAAAAAAAAAAAATCACGGCGCTTCGCAAAGTTTTTACAGCGCGAAATCATCATCCTTCATCGGCCAATCTTTCCTTGTACCTAAACGAAGTAATCTCGCGCTGTTTTAGCGTATCGACCAATACCCGCTCGAGGATGGAAGGATCGCCGCTAAGGTCGGGGATGCCGGTTTGATCCTTGACTCAGTTCTCACCCCCCCCCCCCTTGATTTTCTTTTAGTTAGCCGTGGGTATTTCACGCCAAAGAGGCTAGAAGCGCGAGAAAGCCATTAGTCGCTGATGTTTACTTGCTCGCGTGTGTGGTCGGGGGACTTTTCACGATTGGGGCTGAATTTTGGGTTGGATCGAGTTTTATTTTTTTTTTACTTATCTTTTAATTTTGAAACGAGTCGAGTCGAAGAGTTTATTCAGCAAAGTCACGTCTGTCCAAAGTCACGGATAATTGATTTTCCCGGGCGTCCTTAGGACAGAAGTTCAGGTTAAAGTCACCAGCTTGGGGGTATACACGCGTGTACAATATATTTATGCACGGCGTACACGCGAAAAAATAATTTTCCCCCCTCACACCCTCGTAGGCATGTGTTGAGATAATTTTCTCAGCGATTGCGCAACGCTACGATTACACGTTCCTTCCTCGTGGCGCCAATGTCGTTGAAAAAACGGAAATCTGGCAACCCTCGGTAGGAGAATATATACGTAACACGAACCATTTTTTTTTCGATCGAGCAGGTGAAGCGCGAAAAATTTGAAAAGGGAGTTTTCGCGAGCCGGGAGGGAGCCTTCATGCGCGCCGACTTTTTTCGCTGACAGAGGAAAAAAAAAAATCTGAATCGCAAATCGGGTGCTGGACAACTGGATGTGTGTATGGGCGCGCACATAGAAAAGGTCGCCTCGGCCAGCCTCTGCAAGTAAGTACACACGCGAGCCAAAAGAGAGAGAGAGAGAGAGTCACGTGCTCCCTCGGTTAAGGACGCCACGTGGCACGCAAGCGAAACAAGCACGTATACATTTGCCTCGTCGATTGTGCGGCACACGCGCGCAAAATGAAAATTCAAATTTATGCCCCCGCGGAAGTACCGTTACGAGCATGAACTGCCCCCCAAATCCCCAAGCCTCGAGATTCGTGATGGCAGTATGGTAAAACGTTCGTTTGGTCGTGATCAGGTCGTGATAATGTCTTCTGTCAACGTGATCCCTCCCGCGATGAAAAGAAGTGGCTCGCTTATATAGGCCCGAATACACGGAGAACAAGTCAATAGTAGAAACAGACAAGTACGGTCAGACGGGCGATCGCAATGGTGACGCCATCTCTGCTCATCGGCCGTAAGCTCTCGCCGAAAGCTCGGCCGGCTTTTGTTTCTTCTTGCACGCAACACCTCTGCCATCTGGCGGCAAATCCAAAAAACTTGGAGGGGGGTAGCTCCTCCCTTCCCTCGGTGCTGAAAATAACCGAGCGAGCGATCCCTCCCCCACAGTGCTCGGCCGCGACCTTCTTCCTTCCTCTCCCTCTTGTACTTTTTCAACGGCCATAGTGCTACTTTTTTTTTTACAGCGTAGCGATTTACACCCCCTTGGCGTCATTGCACTTATTAATTAAATCACTGTTTCGGGTCTCGTGTATCCACCACTTTTTCTTATCGACTGTGTATGGAACCTTAACCCGCTTGGTTTTTCTTTTTTTTTTTTTTTTTTTTTTTTTTCTTCTTTTCTCATTCGTTTGGTGCGATGGAGTTGCATTTTTCCGTTTCCCTTAGTTCGTCGATCAATACGAGATTGTATAGGACACAATTTTTTTTTATTATCTCCTTCTCCCAAAATCACGCAGCCGTACCGCCAAAGTGCTCCATCACCCTTTGCATAAAAGTCGAGTGAGGCTCATCCCCGCTTCGTCTAATCCCCGTGATGGAGCTTTCTATTATCGGGGAAGGCCCCGGCTGCAGGGATATTACACGTTATCCGGTCCCATTTTTCCTGCTATGCATAAAATTTCATTCCCCCTCCCCCTCCTGCCTCCTCTATACAGACTTACAGCCAACCACGAAAATGAAACGCGGTACATACCCCACTTACAGGGGGCCAAAAAAAAAAGTGAGATAGTTGCCGAGACAGTCACTCGTAATGATAACGTGTCGATGCGCAGGGGTGGTGTGTCGTCGGTTTCAAAGTTTCCCGAGTCCCTGGCAAAGAGGATTGCGGCGTTGTTTATTCCTGCACCGAGACAGGCAAGGAGGAGGAAAAAAATGGCAAGCTCTGCTGGTATCGCGTTCTACGTGGAGGTAAAGGAGGTGACATTTTAATAGGACGGCTCGCTCGAGTTCTTGGTAAATAATACTCACCGGAACTGATTTCGTCACTACACTTGGCGCAATATTACGTGGAAACACTTTGGCAATTATTTTTTTCGGAGCTTTACATACATGCTTTTTGATCTAAAAAGGAGCTTTGCTCGTTTCGTTTAAAACTCCAATCTCGGCCAGCTTTGCGTTTGATAAAGTTTTAACTCGAGATCCAGCCAGAATCGAATTACTTACCTTTTGCATTTCAATTAAATGGGCACTGTGAATTATTCATGCGTATTATTGGCATTGGGTGTTTTTCATTTATTTATTTTGTCTCCATTTCTTTCCCTGGAGAGGTCATAATTGTGTGACACCGCAGTCACGATTTTTGCAATTAGATCAAGTTTTTCCGATGGATTCGCACAATTTTAACTAATTCGATTTTAGGAGCACATATTGCTCAGCTATATTTTTCGATCTGATTAGTCGTAAATGCACTGTCGAACCATCGGTTGTCACCATAACAAAGTCCTATAGTTTGTCAAGTCCTTGATGTTGGTATACACTATATACTTGTATGTAAGTTTTAAGAATTCACGAGGAGACATCCAATTACGGAAACTCAAATAGCTGCAGACAGAGAAATACTCAATTTCTTCCGATTCCTTTAAATGACCAACTCTCAGGGCAAAATTATCGGCGTACAGTATATGAATATCTCGTTAATTGCATTGATTAGTATGTCGGGGATGGGCCCTTATTTTTAACATTAGATGATAGTGCATGTAGCTAATGAGAAAAAAAATGATAGAAATCAAAGGGTAAAGTAAGTTTTGTATACTCACAGTGAAAACGGCCAGGAGGACTCGAGCTTCTGCGACGGGCGCTTCTCGTGCTTCGCGGCATGTCGGTTCTCGATTCCGTGACAACTGTAACAAACGAAAAAAAAAAAAAAGAAAAAAAACCAATGATTTTCACGACCAAATTAATGGCCCGCCAAAGAGCTGAGAGGAAAACAAGGAGATAGCGACTCCTCGAAATTTCTCTCGGGTGGTGAAAAGTTGGCCTCCCTCCCTCCCTCCCTCTCTCGGCCCTGTGAGATATTGTTCGCAACTCGGTGAGACAGCGAGAAAGAGAGGAGGAGGAGAAAGTGTTTTCAGCCGAAGAAATTTCGGGGAGTGAGTTATGATTCTTCGGGAAGCCTTACCTTGGACAATTACACGATCTCCCTAATGTAATCTGAAAGTGTTTACGGACGAAAATGTGGGGCCGAGATGGAGAAACTCGGTAGCTCGAATAAGTTCAGTAAAGCTCAAGTTGCACGATTATTCACACATAGACCACAAATATAATACATGTAGTTAGTAAAAACAAGGTGGTACAAAAAAATGCGGATCCATGAGAAACGAGGGTCAATAAAACTCGCGGTTAAAAGCGCTTCTCGCCAACTGAGGGCAAATAAAAAGTTATCTCGCGCGCGCGCGTGTCTAAAACAAAGCAAAACAGTGTGCGGCGCGATGAATTAAAAATGAAGCCACCCGGTTATCACTGCCGAGAAAAATGAAGCGCGTGGGGTTGACGAGCATTGCGTTTTATGAATATTAAGCTGCCGTTGTAAGCGAAAGATAAAAAAAAGTGGAGGGGGGGAGAGACGTGACGCTCCTTTTATACAGAACAAACGGTGTTTAAAACGCGCGAGGGGGTCGCTTTGTTTTGAAATAACGGGGAGACTTTTTATCCACGGTTTAGGGGAAAAACAGTATACCTGTACCCGCGACCATGGGACTTTCCCGAGGGTTTGTTCATCAAATGTCAGTGGCAAAGTTTCATTTTTAAACGATGGTCTTCCTTCTTTCATTTTTAAGACGATAAGCGAGTGACGTCGCACCGCACGCTGACTCGTACTACTTGAAAAAATCCCATATGTCCCGCAATTGGATGCTTCGTCGGATCGAACCGATTAAGGAAGGTTTTTTCAATACACGCAGGCAATATTGTTCCCTGACAGAAGTATCGTGGCGACGTGTGCGAGAGATACTACGAGTATTTGTCACTTATTTGCGAAAACAGCGATACTTTTGGTGGAAAAAACAAAAAAAAAACCCTGAGCCGCGTCCGGAGACAAACAAACAGATGGTGAAGAGCCCGAAACGAAAACGGAGAAAATCGAAGCCAGCCCCCCGACGGCGTAGGCGGGAGGAGGAAATAGATAATTGACTGGTCAATTGGTTGGACATGCAAAGGCGCACGGAAAGCGATGAAGCGAAAAAGGGGGTGGGGGGGGGTGGCAGATGGGAAATGAGCTTTAAGGTCAGGGCAAAAGAGAGCTCGCAATATCGGCGATCGCGATGACTGGATGAGCCGAGAGTCTTTTTATACCGAATGTCTTATTGTTGCTCGCGCCCCCATGCATCTGGTTCTTTGCTCCTCGGGTATGGCATCCGATTGGATCAACGCGTTTTTTCACCGGCGGGTCCATTCGTGATCACCTGTCCGGGCTCCCCTCGGCCCCAAATCGATCGATTGACCTCTCCTCCAACCCAAGGCCGCCCTCTTTTTGCGACACTGCTCCGCCGCCCCCCTCGACCAAGTGCTCGGTTTGAATATCGCGGGCCTCATTAGCCTCCGAGCCCGGCATAATGAAGTCTCCGCGGGAGATCGAAGAGACGAGAGAGGAAAGACGCAAAAAAGGAAGAAAGGAGGCAGGCAATTACGCGGTGTTTGCCGACTGCCGCGCGTAACATGTGCACACAAGAGAGGGGATACGGCGGTGCAGGAGCGCTCGCCAAAAGGAGGGGGGGAGGGGGAATAAAAGAACCGAACGACGCGGGTGTACCTTTATCGCTCTGTATACCTTCAACAGTAGCGCGCGCCCGTGTTGGGTATGTAGCCGGTATAGTACTCGTTTATCTTTGCCTCACCCTTTCCCTCCTTTTGCGCCTTTTCTTTCCAAGTTACGAGCTTTTTTTACGATTCGCGTTCATTCCTCTCTCTCTCTTTTCGAGGTGGTTTTGGGTGTTTACTGGCGAGTCGGACCATTGGATTCAGTACGTATGGTGGCTCCACTGGGGTGTGGTTTGGTGAATCAAATAAAATTTCACTAAGTAGTTGGTTATTTGAATATGTCCCCTGGTAGAAACATCACTACATAAACTGGCTAGAAACTCGTCAACACGTTATAACCCCATTGACGCATGTACGTTGACGAGTTTCTAGCCAGTTTATGTAGTGATGTTTCTACCAGGGTCTTGTCAATCGTTGAAGGAACATCGTATCAAATAATGTTAATAATCGTGACACGTACAGTGACTTTGAAAATCTATCAATTGAGGTAACATTAACTGGGATTCAAAAAAGTTACACTTTCTTTTTCTTTTTCTTTTTTTTTTTTTCAATTTCGTTGGATCATTTTTTCGTTTGGTACACTTACACAGCAACAATTAATAAGTAGGTACGAGGCATTTTATTTTCTCGTCGATTAGGTTTCACTGAAAAAAAACTTCCACTTGTTGGCTCCATGTTTTAAATATACGTATTCATTCAAATTCACAAGTTTTAAGCACACCTTTATAAATTTATGAAAAGTAGTCGTCTTCTGTGCTTAAAATCTCACCATGAGGAATTCTCGTGCTCGACGAAAAGATAGACGCGATAAATACCGCCGGGGATCACGGAGGTGTGAGAGGGAGGTACAGGCATCATCTACTCGAGGGCAAATAAAACCTTGGCTAACAGAGACATTGAGCAACTTGAGAGAGAGAGAGAGAGATGGGGGAAGGATGAGGCGAGCATCTAAGCCGTATCATCTTCGGGCCAACTCGCCCACCCCAGAGCCGGGCGGATCATCTCGAGCCTCCTTTTTGCGCTTTGAGTGATAAATTCGGACTTATACAGCTGCTCGCTTTGAAAATAAAATTTATGCCTCGCGCTCGCGTGTGTGGAAGGGGGGGGGGGGGCTACTTTTGGAAGAAGAAGCAGAGAAAGGAAAAAAGTACATAAAAAATGAACAATAAATCAGGACGCTGGAAAATCCGCCCGTCAGGACTAATGCGTCCGCTCGAGCGTGATAAACACGTACTTGTACCGGAGAAAAATACCTCCAACCCCCTGTACGCGCGTGTGGGTGTGTGTGAGACAGACATCTCCTGCTCTGATCCCAAGCATTTACCTTCCACTCGGGCGCGACGCACCTAAAGCGACAAACAAATTTTCGCGGTTTTACGTGAGATAAATATATTGTAATGACAATAATTACAGTGTAATAATAATAATAATAATAATAATAAAGAAGGAAACTCTCCGTGTTTTTCGATCCAACAGCAGCAGCTGGCGTGTGTGTCCCGAAATCTTTCCCCTTTAAAACGGAGGGAGGTCTGCCGTGCTCCTCATTGTCTAGTCCTGAAGAGGACACTTGACCTTATCCCAAGTACGTATATCGCTCATATATGGGTCGTTCCGCTGAATCTTGCAAGTTTTTTTTTTTTTTTTTTCTCTTCTCGAATGTTTATACTTTTTTTAGCGTTATTTATCCATCGCCACATTCAAAAGAATCTTAAATTTTATTGATAGATACTTGTCTTCAACATGGTTTAATAAATTTGCAAATAAGTATAGGCAAAAATACGGATCTATTAATTTAAATTTCTAAACTTCGCCAATTACCCACTGGAAATTTTTTTTGCTTTTTTTATTTTTTTCTCATTTCAAGTTAAAAGTACTGAAAGTACCTAATCGTATCTGAAATATCAAACTATATTAAATTGAAATTAATGATTAAATTATTGGCAATCTTACCCTGGAAATCCTAGAAACGCGTATTTAATATTGAATATCGAGCACAAGGCTGACGAATTGCCAGTAGTGCAAGTTTCGACGAAACGACCCATATGCGAGCACCGGCTTTCTTTTTCCTTTTACACGTATAACCAATCGACAAGGATTTCGTGCTCGTTTCAAGGTACACTATCGATATTCTTCCTCTTGCACTGTACAACCTATACGTGATTTCTCTTTTTTTTTTTTTTTTCTTTTCTCTCTTCTTCTCTTCAAGACAAGAGGGACATTGCTGTACCAGAGAGGACGCGTCATACATCAATCCTCTTCCATGCTTTTCTCATTTTTTTCTTTTCCCTTGCTCGTACCGCGTATACACTTGATTTCGGCAATGGTCGAATCAACACTTTTGTCTCGTCTTTTATCTGCCTCTGACGCTAGGGCGAGACTTTTCATTGTCGAGAGCTCGCATTGTTCCCGAAGGCGCGAGTTTTCGTTTGTTTTTTTTTTTTTTTTTTTTTTTTTTTTTTACGGATCGATCGGGCACGTGGAGCCCAGCCGAGACTTTAAAGTCGAGCTTGAAAGGCTTTTATTTTAAATTCTACCGGTAAGCATACGCTTCATGAAGAAACTTTTGTACGTAATGCCGCGATAATTCAAATAATACCAGAGGAAAACTCTTGAAAAGTCCAACAACGACATGGAATATCGCAATTGTAAAAGAAAAAACAACAACCCCTCGGTAAAACCCCCGAAATCGACAAAGCCCCGAAAGATACATACACGCAGAGATAAGATGGAGGAAACTCGTGCGCCAACAAACTCGAAGAAGATCCCCGAGAGTTGTGTGTGGGGGGGGTGGGGGAGAAGTTACGTGTGTAACAATCCCGATCCTCCCATCTTATTATTCGGCAGCCGCGCTGTCCCTCCCCGACCACTAAGTCTCTGTATACCGCCTCCACCATACCCATCTACTCCCAAGCGTGTAGTTTTACCGGTAGGTTGTGGCCGTAACCAGCATCCATAGTCCACCCGAAACTTTGACCTTGTTCCCCGAGAGAGGGGCTCAGCTGGCGTTTTCGCGCGAATTGGATTAATTTGGGGGAACAGGAAGCCCCTGGTTACTTGGACGGCCACTTTTGTTATCGCGTCCCTT